ACTGTGTGCGCTGGCGGGAGCAGCGTCCCACCTCCGTGCAGGTGTCCCTGTCCCTGGGAGGGCAGGGAAGCTCAGGAGCAAGGCCCCTCACAAGAGTCAGAGCTAGGTGCTTTACTTTGGCTGGGCTCACAGGATGTGCCTGCGCAGCAGACCCACGAGCCCCGCTGCACACCCCTGCAAGAAGAGCGGCTGCTCACCACCACCCACACGCAGATGCTCTAGGGCTGAGCAGAACATACTTAAGTGAGCAAATCCTGGTGGGCAGGGATGGCTTTCTCTGTCAAGGAAGGCTCAAGTGGGTAAGGTCAGACATGAAAATAATCTATGCACCTGCTGAAGGGATGTTTTAAAAATCTGTACATTAGATGCTGAAGATGAACTTTGTATTTCTTGATCACTGGGCAGTGAAAGGAGCTATGTTGGCTGCTTTTGTCCTTCCATTAGTTTGGTTGAGTGCTGCCTGCATCCCCAGACCTGATGGTAGCTGTTAAATAATCTACCAGTTCTCAGAGAAACTGTGGGCTGTGAGTGAAGGCACAGACTGGTGTTGTTTCTAAAGTATTGGTGAAGGAATGGCAATTTTTTATTTCAAATTATCTAATCCTGGTAAGGGCAAAGAGTGACATAAGCACAATAGCAAACAGGGTTAGTGTCACCAAGGAGTCTGGGAAGTGTTGCATCCTCTCCATGTGACGTGGCTGGAAGCTTCTTCTTTTTAACTCTTCTTGAAACATTATCAATGATCCAATTATTTATCTCTGTCTCCTGGGAGACACAAAGCAGGGCATGCCTGCTCTGCCATGGAGCAGGAGGAAGGCAAAAGGGAGGATTAACCTGGGAGTGATTAATTTGTGCTAAAAATGATTGCACCAAGTGAAAGACAAAGAAGATGAGGGAAGTGGATTGGAGAGGCTGAGTTAAACCCAAACGTTCCTGTTGAGAAGAAAATCTGTCCATCTTAAAGCACTTCCAGTTAAACATGTGCAAAAATGTAGCACCTCCTTTTCTGCCCAAATTAGCCAAGTCATTGTCAAAAACAACTTTCAAAAGTGCTTTCCAAACTTCTTCTGTACCTGCTGGTGTGTCCTGGTCCCACCCACATCAAGATAAAGCTTTGGCCTGGCTGAATGCAGCAGGACTAAGTCCTGCCACAGCCTCTGGACACAAGTACTTTGCGAGTCCCCACGTACCTGCTGCCCTGTGGGTGGCACCAGGTGTCACTGGCACTGCAGAAAAGGGAGAGAAAAGGAAAATATTTTTCCTCATTTGCCCAACTCCCTTGCTCTGTGCAGTTTTCACCTGGCAGTTTCTGCAGGCTTTTTCCAGAGCCAGAGGGAGAGAATTGCATAGTGGAAAAAAAGTAGAAATTTGCCAAAATTAGCATTGAAACTTCACTGTAGACCATCTCCGAAGTTTCTTTTTTCTGTTGCTGCAGTTGAGATGAACCCCTGCATTGGTCCCAGAGGCCCTGTGACCTAGGGGCTGCACAGGGTGCAGAAATGAGCCCTGGAGCTGCTGCCCCTCATGGACACTGTGGCCACAGGGGGTCTGCAGCTGAAAGTGTGAAAAACTGGAAGTGTCCACTGTACCTCGGATCAAAGCCACCCAGATTTCAGCACTTGCTGAAGTTTATCTGCGCTTTAAAACATATAAAAGAGTTTAAGTGTGTGCTCCATTGCCTTTGCCCAATGCTTGAGGATTAGAGAGGTGCTTAGCAACTTTCTGGATCTGGGTGGAGTTAAAAATAGAAGTCAGGGGTGATCCGATATCCCAAACCCGTCCCGGGAGAGTGAGGAGGCAGTGATAGCTTTGCCATGCAGCTGCACCCCTTCCCCTTCTCTCAAACCTGCTTGCAGAAAATAATTCAGAAACCACTGCGCTTATCTCCCGTCATTCCTGTGGAGCAACAGTGCCGGCCATGCGGTGGCCTTGCCGGAGGCGTGGGTGCCCCGTGGCACCTGGCTGAGAGAAGATCGGTGCCAGGACAGGCCTTGGCTTTCCCTCCTCCTCAGGGTCTGGCTGCCAGAGCACCCGGAGCCCTGGAGATTGTTAAGCACTGAATTTTATTTATTCCCTCTTTTATCTGAGTTTGTTTCACTGGAGGAGGAGACGCAGGGCTCGGTTGGTCACCACATGAGCATCCCCTGTGCATCCATTTTAGGGTTGTGCCTCTCAGGAGCTGTTGCTTTAGGGGAAGGAGCCGCAGTGTTCGGGATTGAGCGGGAATGCACACGGGGCTCTGGGGCGCGGGTCCGCAGGAGTGGGGGAAATATTGCCTCGCCTTCACCAGGGATTTTATTTTCCCACATGAAAAGAGAGTGGCCTCTGAATGTCAGCCCAGCCTGCCTGTCAGTTCTCAGCTGCACCATGGGATAAAGCTGCTGATCCCTTTTATCCCCTTCTGGGAGTAGTATTAATAGTATATTCATTTTTGTTCCATTTATAATTCATTACTGCCCAGTTATTTGGATTTACTTGTGTTAAAAGGCATAACGAGACAAAAACTTAGCTGGTTATGAGCCCTGGGAGAAGAGGAAGGCTCTTCCCCTCCCTCCTTTCCTGCCTTGCCTCCAGGGCAGGGGGGAGCAGCTGGCCAGGGCCGAGTTTGCAAGGAGAAGGGAGGTCACTTTGTCCCTGGGATGCTGAGCTTTGGAAGTCACCACTGATTTTGTGGCTGCAAACCCATAGGAAGAGTGTTAGTTCTGTCCTAACTGGCACACTCCCAGACTGATGCACCTAAATCTCACTGAATTTAACTGCAAATCAAGCTCCCATGGGTGTTTAAAATCCCTCCATACAACTAAAATATTTATACTAAACAGATAGGAGCATGCATTTTAAAATAAAAATTTCTCCTTATTGTTTTAACCTCCCACTTCCCCCTGCTCCATTGCTTTTATCTGTCATAAGCACAGGCTCTCCTCTGGGCATTGCAGGCTCTGGGCCAGAGGCTCTGCTCTGCCCACGGCACACCCTCCAGGAGAGGCCCAGATGTTCGGAAAGGGGGCAGGGGGGCAACCTCCACAAACCAACAACAACAAAAGAACTGTGTTTTTTTAAACCACCTTTACGCTTTCTTGCTCCTGGGGTCAGCCCCCTGTGTAAGATAAAACCGCCTAGATCTGCTTTATCTCACCCCCAGCTGCCCCCCTTCCTGGGGACGCTCTGGCAGAGGGGCTCAGCCGGACACGGCTGCTCCCACCCAGCTGCGGTGCCCAGGGAGGGCCCGCGGTGACACCAGCCCTACGGGGACCCTGTGGCCAGGGCTCGCCCCATAGCCGGTTGTGCGGGGTTTTCCTGTCTGTTTGCTTTGCGGGAAGCAGCTGGGGCTGCTGCTGGATTGTTTTTTTCTCCTGAGCTGTCAGGCTGCCTTCCCAGCAAACTGTGGCTTTTGTGATAGCTCTGGGAGCCCTGCTTACACCAGAACAGAATTTAGTAGGGACGGAATTTAGTCTCTTCTTACAGCTTGGCCCAAGTAGAACAAACTTGCTCTTGAGGCTGCTCTTGCAGATGGTGCTGGTGCCCCTCATCCTGCTGTGACCACCCATTGTTTTTTAGCTGGCTTAAATTAGCTGCTGATATAGGTCTGGACAGGTCAGCTTGGACATTCACATCCCAAATATGCTTTTGGGAAATGATCTAAAATATGGGCAGGAAGTTTTATTTTGTAGATTGACCCATGCAGAGCTCTGAAGACAGAGAGACATAGATGGATACATCAGTCAGATGGGGCGTCTTTGATCCTGAAAGCTCCCAGTCTTTGAAGGATGTTTTTGTGTATTACTAAGATTCACAGTCTCAGCCTTGACCCAGTTGCTCCCATCCCAAAGGACATTTGCAGATGTAGAGCTAGAATTACTGGTGGGCTCCCAAGAGGAGAAATCCCAAATTACTGATGAATATACTGTGGGTTTCCCAACTGTAGCTTCCTAGGTTATGATTCAATACCTAGAATAGCCTTTCTGAGGCTTATGGAGCATCTTGGGAAGAGGTTTTCATATGGCACTTGCTGTTTCATATGGCAGATCCATAATTTCCTTTTAGTTCCTTTTTGCAAGACTGTGGACTAGAAGGTAAGGCTCGTCCTGTAGACATAATGGTTGCTTCTGATCAGTATTGGCAAAGGTACTAGAAGTAGAAAATATATTTAATTTTAATTCAAATCGGTACTGGTAATAAGCACTAGAAGTAGAAAGTATATTTAATTTTAAGTCAAATTTTCCAACGGAAGTTGGACATTTTCCAAATTTTCCAATTGGGAATAATTCCAATGAAACTTTATATCTTCTCAGGGTAAAAGTGACAATATTTAGGCCCAAGTACTTTCCAAACTCCTTCTGCGCTTTGGGCTGCATACTGGCCCTCACCAGTAAAATTTGGACACTCTCTCCTGGTTTTGGAAAAGTTACTCAGGATTTGGTTAAGCAGAAGTGAGACGAGTTTAAAACCTTTAACGTGTTATGCTTTTATCTTATGTTCTCTGTGAAGCCATCGTCTTCACTATAAGCTAGATGGGAGCAAAATGTCACAGTGTGGGTAAGTGGTTTCTTTTTTGCTTTGTTTTTCTCCAAAACCCACAACTTAAACCAGGTCTGAACCCCACGCCTCATTAGTGGTGCCTTGTGGTGCTTCTAAAAGAGCCAGGTCTGGAGGCCAAATCTGGCCCATCCCAGAGTGGTCTTGCACTCAAATTTCTGGTTTTGTCCTTGCCACCAGTTTTAGTGGCACATGGGGCAGGTGGCACATGGAGAAATTATGTAGCCATTGGACTCCCCCTCTGAAACACAGCACCTAGTGACTTTGTCCACCCCTTTGGTGTGTCTTTGGGTCTGATGTGTTTCTGAAAGGGGAGCAGAGGAGGAGGAGAGGGGGCAGTGAAGCTGCTGGCAGCCCCTCTAACAGGAGCACGGTTTGCAATCCCATTCACAGACATTGTCTGGCATTGTTGTACCAGACACGCTTCATTCACGGCCCCTCTCTTGTCTCTTTTCAGCAAGTGCCCACTGGTCCTGCTCTGTTTGTCGGCAAGAATGAGCCGCTGGGAGGAGGAATGTTTCCCAGACGGGGGGTGAGGAGGTCAGTCTGGACCTCTGGACATTGGCGGCGTGGGCTTGCAGCCGTGGCATGTGAAAGCAGGGGACCCTTTGGCGGCTGTTTGTTTGGATCAGCTCAGATCAAGAGATTAGCTGTCAGGTCATCTACTGTGAAATCCATTATGAAGAACACTCGGACACTGATGCTTGACTTGAAATCCTTCATTGGCTAAATTGCAGAAATCATCTTCCGAAGCTTTTGTCAGCTCCATGTGTACGTGTAAAATATTTATACACGCGCAGATATAAAATAATGTTTGCAGTAATGCCTAATGCAAAATGTTTGTTGAGTAAATCTGTCACTGAAACTTCAATTCCAGATTACTGCACTCCAAGATCTGCTATTATCAGTGAAAACACATCTTTAGAAAGTTCACAACAGTCTGAAGTAGAGGAGCTATTGAAATGCAATAGAAAATCTACCCCTCACGGATTAGTCAAACAATGAATGTAGCCCTGCATGTAAACATTGTCTAACTGTATTGGCAAGGTAAATGGTTCTTGATTTACTGCTGCAGGAATAGGTGGCATTTCCTCACACTGTGAATATAAATATCAATTATCTCGAGGAGAAATGCATTTTTAATCTGTAAGTGTGGTCAAGCGATGCAAATAGTGGCAACAAATCAATCAATTATCAAATTATTAAACATTTCTGATATTATTATTATTAATCTCTGGTACCAGCAGTGTACAATTTGCTGGAAAATAAATCGTTAGTAGATCTTGGAGTACTTGAAAAAGTGATTTTAATCTGTGGACATCCTGAAAAACCACAACCCCTGAGTCAGGGAGGTCAAAGAGGAATGAGGAGTCTGGGGTTTTGGATTTCAGAGATAGCCTTTCATGGTGGTGGTTGTTGTTGCCATGTTCAGTGTTTTCATACTGCCTTGTGTGCATTACAGATTTATGCAGTATCAGCCACACTTAGCCATGCGTTATTTTTTTTTTTTTTTTCAGCCATTTGGATGTAGCAGCAAAGTATGAACTCCTGAAGGAGAAAAAGATAAAAGAGGGGAGCAAAGTGATGGAGGTATCACTCTCTCTGTGGATGGCCAGCAGTTTCTGCTCTGTCTGCAAAACATTTCCACATCTTCCACATGATCTTCCTAAGGAACACTCAACCCAGTGTGTTTTGATGGAAATATCTGAGGTACAAAGACATGAAGAAAATAAGAGCTTAGATTTGTGGCAGGTAGAAAGTTTTCGATCATTTTAGTCCAACCCATTGGAATCTTTATTGAGTTGTTTTTAAAATGTAATACCCTTCCAAAAGGCCCTTGGTATCAACTCAAAATGTTTATTGAGGACTCATGGCCTGGGTGCAAAGGGAGCTTTCATCCACCCTTCTACAAATGAATAGTTTTGATGAGTGGTTTGATTTGGCAGGTTTTCTTTAATTCTCAGAGCAGATTTTTGCTGCGCCTCATCTTACGGCACTGGCCTCATCCCAAAGTAGCTCCAGGCCTGACCAAAGGAAGCTGTTACCCAAAAAGACCAACAAACCAGTGATGGCATGGCAGAAAATGCCCTTTCTGGGCACGTGATGGTAGACTCAGTCCAGCCCCAGCAGATCGTGCAGTTCATGGATGAGAGTGTCACCATTGTACTTTTTTATTTGCATAAAACTATTATCCCATGGACAGTGGCTCTGGAGTTGTCTAGACAACATGCTTCCGATGGTATTGCTGACCTCAGACACACTGGGCTGGCTCTAAATTAGCAATGAGCAGGGCTGGAGGGATGTATTATGGCAGTTATAAACCATAAGAAGGTATTTAAATAGATGGATAAGACACATGCAAATCTTTCCATTGCCATGACAACCATCTTGATATAGGTTTTCCATACGTAGCAAGAATGGCAGAGCAAAGGCACTGGAAAAATAGCAAGAACCTGTAATGATAATGAACCCTGACAGTGTATTAGTCTAGATTTTGGTCACTTATTAACTCTTAATAGAATACAAACTTCTATAGTAATACAGTGTTCAGTGGGTCAGGGAGCAATTACTTCTAAACCTTTGCTATAAGGATCTCTGCTATATGGCTATACCTAATGTACCAATTCTTCACAAATTGATCTGACTGATTAAAAAACACTTTGCTATTAGATGTAAATTGTTTAGCTGCTCAAAAGTGCTTTGCAGGGATGGGTTGCACAAAGCATGAAAATATGTCATTTATGGACATCTCTATATTTCCCTCCCGGTTTTATTGGCTGGGCAAGGAAGCTCATAAATCCGGACACATGGATAATTGTCATGCAAGAACTGAGGTTGCCAGTTTCAAAAGGAAAATGCAGGGCAGCCCCCAACATATGTGTGACTCCTCCCCACATTACCTGTCTGAGCAGGGTGTCTATTCTTTTTTGTTCTTCCTTCTTACATTTCTTCATTTATTCTAAGTGCAAGCCCCATGGTTTGAAGGCCAGCTCATGGCTCTAATGATGTCTCCTGTGGCCAGCGAGGGTCCCTTCCAGCAGTGGCTTTCTCAGAGAGATGTGCAGGATGAAAGCAGCTGCCGGAGCTTGGACCTAGAGGTGTCTTGTCCAGCCAGCCTGAGTCCTCTGTGCTTGTTCTCACACAGTCCAGGGATGCTGGGGTATGGGCGGCCAGGTGGGAAGGACATGGATATGCTGCCCCGTTTCAAACACCTTCCTGCACAAGGCAGATGCATCAGTAGTGACTGGGGCCTTGGGAAATGAATTAGGATTAACCTTGCAGGGTTTTGTTGTTGTTTTTTTCCTTGGTGCTGCTGAAGGTGCTTAGGCACCTGAAGGGAAGAGAGGAGGAGAAAGAATTTTTACAAGAGCATGTAGTGACAGGACAAGGGAGAATGGCTTTTAACTGGACGAGAGTAGGCTTAGACTAGTATAGTAAGAAAAACTTCTTTATTGTGAGGGTGGTGAGGCCCTAGCACAGGCTGCCCAGAGAAGCTGCAGATGCCCCATCCCTGGAAGTGTTCAAGGTCAGGTCAGATGGAGCTCTGAGCAAGCTGGTCTAGTAGAAGGTGTCCCTGCCCATGGCAAAGGGAGGAATTGGATGAGCTTTAAGGTCCCTTCCAACCCAAACCATCCTGTGATTCTGTGCAGTTGTAGGGGTCTACCCTCTTGCAGATCCTAATTCCTCATTACCACTCCTTGCTGTTCCTGTGATGGATGGTTTTGTTGTGGGTGTTTGGAGGTGGATGGCCCACACTGTGCTTCCACACTGTCCTGTTCCCTTCCACCCCAGCAGGCAGTGGGATCCCTTCCTCCTCTGCCTGGCTCTGGATCCAGAGCAACTAAATCTGTCACAGCCTCTATGCCATCTCCTGTCACCTCCACCCACTGCCTCTGTGCTATCACACCCCACACCACACAAGAACCCTTGCCGTTCTTGTCAGAGCCTTTCCTGAAATGCCATCCTTTTATTTATGCTTTCAAGTAATAATTTTGGCCAGCACCATCAGGCTTTCATTGTGCACAACACTGAAAACAATCTTCCTCCTTGAGACTCCCTTGGAGCTCCTCTGAGCCCTTGAAGAGGGCAGGCAAGGCAGGGTGCTACAACTGCTCATTGTTTGCCATCTCACTGCAGCCTTGTGTTATCTCTCTGCCCAACTTCCCAAGGTGGGGGGAAGCAATTTGGGTGGGTCCCATCCTGTCCCCCTGCAATGTGCAGCCCCAAGTGCAGCAGCTCTGACTGAAACCCAGCAGATGATACTGTGCTGCAGAGAATAATTAAAAAGCTGTACTCGTTTCCCAGATGAGATGCACTCTTGTAGTGTGTAAATCAGTCACAGTCCTGGAGGAATAATCCAGGCTGGATAATTGTGCAGGGGAAAGGCTCCAGACGTGATAGGGGTTTGCATTAGAAATGCCTTTTCATCCATTTGTCTTTTGACCAGAGCTAGAGAGGGCCAGAATTTTACTCATATGGATGTTTTGATCAACTGATTATTTCAGTGACAGAGATCCTGAAGTACAAGCTCCTGAAAATACCTTATTTGCGTACAGGAGCAGCTAGGAGCCAGTAACTGAAAGGTTCCTTTCTTCAAAGATTAATCTGTTTAGGATCTATGAGTTCCCTTATGATCCTGGACAATTTGACCATCAGCTTGATTAGGGGAAATATTTCACCTTGAGTGTTTATCTGCTGAGCGTGGTGGAAGCAGAAGCAGGACAAAGAAGAACCTGGCTCAGGGCAGGCATTAAATTATACAGCTTATTGGTAAGCTGCTGTTATTTATTAATTAGGCTAAAGAGGAACTGAAGAACCCTGCTCATGGTCTGAGCTTGATTGTGGTGTTCAGGGGTGTTGGGAGCCCGCTCTGTCACCTGCAACAGGCTTTTAGGTGTCACCAGGGGAAGGTTAAAGGTCTTGAAGCTGGCTGGCACCAAAAAGTATCCCAAGGATGAATGTGAAAGCAAGGGCAAATACACTTGTCCCACAGTCAAATGCTTTTACAAGGCCTTTGTAACAAATGTGTTGCTAAAAGCGGTTGAAAAGTGTATTCTGCAGTTTAGAAAAGGCACTTTGGTGCCATGCTCACCCTCTTTCCACTTTAGTGTTGTGGAGGAGAAAGCGCCCATGACAGACTCCACCTACGTGTTTTCTTTTTAAGATCATCTAAACTTTATCGAAGACTAACCGCAGAACTGAAAATTGTTGGTATTAACACTCTAGGGCATCCTGTGTACTGAAGACTCAATTTCTTATCCTGAATACGTGTTCTGGCTGACAAATTTTGGGGTGTTATTTTGCCTTCTAGTTATTCAGACGTTCTTTGGACCTCTGGGAATTTAATTAACAGCTTTTGCATGTATTTAAAGCAAAGTAAACTTTCCTGGAGCCTCCTGATGGTGAGAAACCACCTTCTTTATGAACACTGGCACCTGTCATGTTAATTTGTACAAAGTTTTTGATTTATCCTAAAAGAACACATTACACAGTGGATTTGGAGGAGTTAAAGGGAACCTGCAGGGTGACTTTTAATCTTTATGTCTTTATATACTTGAGGGCATTTTACTGCACCTCTGCACTGCTTTCACCACACAATCATTTTCTGCTTTAGAAATGTAGCCATTTGGATCAATAGCTGCAGTACAATATATGGTACTTCTGATAGGAGCCTCACAGGACACCTAAGAAGCACCGTGGCAATTTTGCAAAACGCTTGGCTACACTCTGAAATATATCTTAAAAGTAAAAGTTGGCAAAACAGACACTGTGCAAAATTACAAAAACTCTGGTGAAATTGTGCTCACTGTATTTATGTGTGTTAATAGTAAATTAGAAACATGGTGTGTAAAGGGATATTCCTTGCCTGAAACATGGGTGTTTTATTAGGAAAGTCTTAAGGGCTAGGCTATCTGCATTTCTTATAGCAGCAGTCTTAAACTCCTGTGGAAAGTGTTGGCTTCTTTGGAGGGATTTTTGAAGGGAAAGATTTCCAGCTAATGTGATACATGTGTGTTTCCTGGGCTTAATTTAAAAGAAAGCAGAAGTAAAAAGGGCTATTTCGTGACATTTACTTAGTGCACAGTACAAGAAATGAAAGAGAATCTAAAAGCATACATCCCTTAAAGTGTTAAAAAAAATATCCTGCACGTTGCAGGTTTTACAGTAAATTCTTTATCTATAAACAAACCGGGTTATCACAGCTGTTTATTGTACTGCTAGCCCTGATCCTAACCTTTATGTCTTTATTGCTTACATACCATTCCCTTGTTTATATGTCTGTACCAGCCTGTGCCCTTGAACTTGGCCCTGACGAGCCCTGACATGGTGCTCGTCCGCTCGCTCAGGGGGGTCACGGCGGCATCAGAGATGGGAGATCAACACCCCAGCAAAGCCCCACTGCCTGCCAGGGGCACAGACCACGGGGACATGAGGAAAGACCAAGGAAAAGGACTAAAGGGTGTGCAGGATTCCCTCTAAGGAGTGTTTGTGGTGCTGCCCTGCTCGCCAGGGCCTGTCAAACCCACCTGGGAAGCTGCACTGGGAGGGTGCAGTGCCTCTCTACAGCAGAACCATCATCCCCTTGCCCTTTCCAGTTGCCCAGCTAGGGCCTGGGTGCTGCACAAGAAAGGCTTTTCCTCTCTTCCCCCCACCCCACCTCTCCTTAGCTGGCAGCCAGGCGTGCCTTGTCAGCAAAGTTTGGTTTTCCT